GCATGTAATGGGCTTCTCAGTAAAGCTACTGCTTCTTTTGGAAGAGTCTATGTACCTTTACCTTTTGGCACTACTCAAAGTGCCTAGCAGGCTCTTTCTAATTATTGACTGGATACTTTCACTTACTCAAATTTAAAAATAGACATTGAAATTGCCTGTAAGTGCTCCCAGGTGACTTGTCCCCCAATGATTACACATTGATTCTATAATATAATGTATTAGAAGATAACTCTGGGATTATGGCAGGGTAGAAGGCATCAAGAATTATGTTTCCCTAGCTAGACAACAATTTCACTACTATTATCTACTTAACTATTTTGGAACTCTAGAGTTTGTTGAAGTCTTGCAACTTCCATGAACAAAATTTGGACAGGTGGTTTGCATTAACACTGGTCACTTTCAGCTCTCAGCACAGTGGTAACTAGCCACCCTGCTCCCACATCAGGCAGCTGTGCCTGTGTTCCTGCAGCAGCTTATAAACAGCCTGCACAGGACCAGGGTGAGGAAAAATGACTGTGTCCTCCAAGTATCTGATCACTGACTGCTATTTCTGCTCATGGAGAAATGGAGAGGCAGGCAGACATTTCTGTTACACCTCCCCTAATGTGAAAGCCCCATCCTCTAATCCACTGGCTGAAATGACTTCCAGAGGATTTAAAGATCCAGCAACCATTGCTCCCTCCTTCATTTTTCACTATTTCCCCTTTCAGGAGGCAGACATTAAAAACGGGGACATTTAAAAACAGGTGCATATGTGAGAACAATTAGAGAGTGACTGTGCATGCCCAGGGAAAGGCTGAGAAAAAAACTGAGAAGACCTTCAGTTCATATGACAGGTCGATGCTCAGCACAGAGACAGTGTACAAAAAGTAAAACCCTAAAACAACATTTCTATTGATGCATGAGAATCTGTTCCCAGAGTTAACTCATTATTAGACTGCAATGTCCAGTTCAAAATAAAGCACAAGGCATACAAAGACACAGGAGAGTATGGCTCATTCAAAGGAAAAATAAATTAATACAAATTGTCCCTGGAAAAGACCTGAGAGAAGATTGACTAGGCAAAGAGTTTGAAATAGCAAAACTGGTGGCTAGTCCTTGGAGTTAGCTGTAGAGTGGCATTAATGTGATTTTCTTCCACCAGCACTCTCAGAAATATAATGGCCTCAAGATGCTGTGCTCCAAGTGTCAGGCTTGCTTGCACCCCACTGCTGTCAACTGTTTTAGGAAGAAATGCACAGACCAACAAACGGTCCAAAAGGTCCCAAGAAGACAGTCAAAAGAGGTCCCTCCACTGTATCCTCTTTGCTCCTGGGGCCTCCCAGGAGCAGAGAGGCCTCCTGACCATAACAGGATGAAGTTATTGAAGTCCTTCACAGCCACAATCTCTTCTGAAAGAAATGGTTTATTGAACCATATCCTAGGCAGGAAAAGAACCAGGTCCTGGGGCATGCAGTCTAAATCACCAGCAGCAGGGACAGATGGAGAATGCAGACATGGCCACCATACTGGGATTGAAGGGACTCTTTCATAGTTTGGAGAAGAGAGAGGCACATTGTTTTTAAAAGCTGAAGTTGTCTATGGGGCTAGTTCTGGGATAGATATATGGTTGGTAAGGAGGAAGTGTTTGCAGCTTCTTAATTTGTAGTGGGTAACAGTTTGAAAAGTACTTGTGTAAGCAGGATGTAATGATATCCTGGTCAGCTTTAACTTTTTGGATAAGAGCTGCAATAGGTCTGGAAGTTGTTTTCATGTTACAACATACTTTTAACCAAGTGAGCAGTTTTTCTCCTTGGTTTCTGCCCTTGGCTCTGTTAACTGATCAACTCCTCGTCTCTTCTTCCAACCATTCAGCCTTCTGTAATTTAATTTCAAACATCTTAGAATCTTTTTATTATCAAAGTTAGAAATCAATATTAAAAGAAAAACTGAACAATTCACAAAGTTGTGAAGTTAACATACTTTCAAACAATAAATGGATCAAAGGAGTTATCCCAAGAAAATTAGAAATCATTTTGAGATGAATGAAAATGAAAACATAACTTTCCACAACTTATAGGTTACAGCAGAAGCAGTACCAAGGGGAAAATTTATAGATACAAAAGCTTACAATAAAAATGAGAGATATGAAATCAACAACTTAACTTCCCAACTTAAGAAATTAGAAAAAAAGATTATTTTCAAAGCTAGCAGATGAAAGTAAATAATAAAGTTTAGATCAGAGATAGCAAAACATGGAAAAAACAATAGAGAAAATCAATCAAACTACAGATATTTTTTAAAGAAATTCCTGCAAACACAAAACTAAGATAAATCAGAAAAAATAGGTAACTGTGTAGAACTATAAACAGTAAGGAGATTGAGTTAGTAAACAAACATCTCCCAATAAAGAAAAGCCCTGGACTGGACAGTTTTATTGGTGAATTCTACCAAACATTTAAAGAAAAACTTATACCAATCCTGCTCAAACTTTTCCAAAAATTTGAAGAGGAGGGACATCTCCTGAACTTATTCTATGAGACCAGCTTGACCATGACAACAAAGCCAGACAAAAACACTACACTAAATGAAAGCTACAGACCAATATCCCTTATGAATTTTAATACAAAAATCCATGACAAAATACTTGCAAACAGAATTCAGCAGGAATATGTACCATGATCAAGTGATATTTATTTCTGGAAAAGGATAACTGAACTTATGGAAATAATCAATGTAATTTGCCATTTCAACAGAACAAGAAAAAAGACCCACACGATCATCTCGATTGATGTAGAAAAAGTATTTGATGAAATTCAATGCTTTTGCATAATAAAATTACTCAAACAAGAATAGAAGGAAACTACCTTAAGATGATAAATGCTATGAATGAAAAACCTACAGCAAACATCATAGTCAATGGTGAAAAGCTAAAAACATTTCCTCTAAGTTCAGGAACAATACAAGGATGCTTACTTTTACCACTTCTATTCAACATAGTACTGGAAGCTCTAGCCAGTGCAATTACATAAGGATAAAATGGCATCTGAACTAGTTAGGGAGAACTAAAATTTTCACTGTATGTGAAAATGTCTTATGTTATAAGACAATAACATCTTATATATAAGATGTTATATAGAAAACCCTGAAGATAACACACACCCACATATACAATGTTAGAACTAATAAATAAATTCAGTCAAGTAACAGGATACAAAGTCAATATAAAACATCAGTTGCATTTTTATAGTGTACTACATTTACCCTCTAAACTTTAGACATTGTCAAGCTCATTTTCACTGGGGGCCACATCAGCCTCTCAGTTGCCTTCAAAGGGTTGAATTAGAGCTCCTTGCCCCTAGTTAAGTATAGGAGACTGTTCTGCATGGCATGGGCCCAGCTCCCACTCGGAGATGCATGGGACCCATGCCCACAGATAGGTTCTCCCATGGGGAATCAGGCCTGCACTGTGCCTATACTGCTATGAGACTTGCTTTTGCTAAAACTCCCTCACCCTGAATTGAGACACCAAATATTTACTGCAAAGTAACTTCCTAAAATCCATGCTAAACCTTCCAAGGATGAGTGTAACCAGTTCAACCACTTATCCCTTTTCATTTGCAAATATCCGTCTTCTGTGATGTGATTAGTGGCACCAGCTCCTTTGTTTTCTGTAAAAGGTAACCACCTATAGTGAACCTGTGGATAGCAAATGAGGACCATCACGTAATGTGCTGAGAAAAAGAAATAAAGGCCTGTCATGGTGGAGGCTGCAGCTTTTTCTCCCCTTGAGAGAAAACCCATGTCATCTCTTTTTCTCCACAGGACTTGGTGGTCTGTGGGAATTTCTCGTTACTCATCCACAATGTGACGGACCCCACGAGCTGGGGTCCGCATCAATTAAGGAGTAGTTATATTTATTCAGTCCTAAAATTACATTTGGCCCTTTGAAAGCAGCCATGAGGCTGACATGACCCGCAGTGAAAATGAGTTTGACACCCCTGCTGTAAACGTGCATTTTTAATAAATTTCTAATGTCCCAAATATATAGTATTAAACGAGCCCTATAGAACAAAGGCCACCATTATATGCTCATCAGTTCTTTCTGAAACCTTCACTCCTTTGTAGCAGTCTTAAAAATAAAGAGTTTTGGTGAAGAGACCTGATCAACATTATGGTCCAGGCTAACCAGGTCAGTTTTCATCTGGTGAAACCTGACAGAGTTATCCCAAGGTTAGCTTATCTTTGGTTGGCAATCCCACCTCCCATTTCTATAAGCCTTACTTCGACTCTGAGGGTTGGCCATTTTAAATAGGGTACACTTTGTTGCTAAGGATAAAGTCACCATGATCACTATATTTTTAATGCTAACAATAGGCTTATTGTTACATATACTATGTATCATACAATTTTGTTTTCCCCTCAAATTAATTTTCTTTCTATTCATTACATATCTTTTCAGGCTTCATAAAAATCCAAAGAGTACATTAGCATAAGTACAACTTGTCACATAGAAAGCAAAAAGAAATCAACATGAAAATGCTTAAAATAAGAAAAACCAAAAATAAAATTAGAAACATTTACAGTACTCCTCTAATGAGCAGCTTACTTACCCCTCATTACAAACATAGTGAGACTGTGAACTAGTTTGAAAAGCTTTGTGTATGTAGAATATTTATCATTTTGAAGTTCTCCTAGCTGTGGACATGATTTTCCTAAAAGAAAATTTTCAAATGTGTTGTTTTATGCCAATTTCAATACAGATTTGAATCAAAATAAAAGTTTGACACTGTTCTTTTGAATTCATGGAAATATTTTCTTCCTTTAACTGTCAAAAGCCCTAATTCAAGATTCATACTTCCCCTGACAACCAACTGTCAAGGAAATGATTCTTGGCAAATTTTCAAAAACATTGCTACCTAAAATATACTCTCCCATGGGATAACTGTCATTACAGCACTGAAATGTACAGTCTATAATGTGTGAAAATATCTAAGGAATAAAAACGTTTGTGTACTTACTTGTACAAGCCTCCTGGAGAGGTGTCCATGTGTTACAGGCTGACAAACAGCAGTGGTAGAGAGAAAATGTACAATACACTTGTATACTAAGTGACACTTAAATTCAAGTCTGTCTCCATGATGATAAAGGGGTGCAGGATTATTCTTGAGCATCATAGATTCGAATCTCAGAGGATCACCACAGACATCTGGGCATAAAAGAATAAGAACAGGCAAATGAAGTGTTTTATCTTTTCATCAGCAAGGGCCTGTAGTCTGGCAGCAGTTAGGTGGTATAGAATAAATGGAAAGGTCCTTGGCAAGTTTTTAAATGCTTGCTTCATGCTTTACACAAGTTGAGGATATGCTGTGCTTACTTTAAATAACATTCTATTAGTTTTGCTTTGTTGGGGAATAAGGTAAATATTCACTCAACAGTAAACTGAAATGACAAATATCAAGGCTGGGGTGTCAAAATATATATAGTTATGCATCTTTTCCTACTTTTTTTCTGAGTTCATTCCACACTTACCTCTATCCTAAAAAGACTTCCATAGTATATAGTCCTGGGTCAGATGACTCTTCCATAATATTAAATACGAACTGATGATGACTTGTCATTTTAGGTTCAGTCTCCTCTCTGAAGGCAAGTTTCCAAAGGACAGAGAAGCATATGTATTCTCTGTACCCAGTGGGTGCTCAAGAAATGCTGTGTTATGATGTGATTATTAAATAAGCATTGTAGATTTCATAGATCAAAATAAATACAGACTAAACTATTTCAAAATATAAGACTTCATGTTATATGTTTCATATCAGTGAACTGAGCATTTTATATGTGAATAGATATTTAATGCCAACATTTACTACTTTTAATAACCTTTGATAAAGAAAAACTGCTTTGATGAAGAAAAACTGCTTTCTTGGACACTATTTTAAATACAATTTAATCTTTTTTCACTGATCAATGGATCATATATTCTCTCAGAAGTGCTCTGAGTTACCTGTTTGGGCTGTGTGTCCAACAATTCCTTGCAGTAAAATTACTATATTGCTATGCTATAAAATTTTTTACTTTGGGGTTTTTTTAAGTAGAGTTTTCTGCCTGTTATGATTTCTACTTCAGCAATTTTTCTTTCCTTTAAATTATTTGTGGGCTGGAAAACCTGACAAATGTGTTAGAACAATTACGTAAAATAATGTGCTGGAGATGCATTAAGCCCTTAAGGGCTAAAAGAATGCAGAAGCCTCTCCTACAAGGTTAAGGACCTAAGTAGAAAGGAGAAAGGTCTATTTTGAACCCTGAGAAACCTTTCCTCTCTTACTCCTTGAATCTTGGTCTTTGGATTGAGAGACTAGTGAAGAGAACTCTACACAAGGGAAATTTTACTCTTATATTTCATATCATCTTCTAAATTCTAAAATCCTCTCTATATACACAGTCCACCATTTCATTTCTATCACATCCTATAATGGACCTACTGGCAAAATGTTTCAACATTTCCACTACGCTGACCTTGGTATCTGAATACACCTGCCTGAAACAAAACAAATACAAAAGGCAAACAGCATTTTAAGAAAGAGGATTAGTACAGAGGTGAGTTTTATTAATAACTTTACACTTATTGAGTAGAGTGAGACAGACATTCTTAAAATAGGAAAAAACACATGGGCTAGAAATCCTATATAATTCCGCTCAGAATATATGACATCATTGCATAATTTCCCAGAGCCACCAAGAAAGAAATCACATAACAACATGCCTGTGATTTAATTATACAAGTATTTTTTGTTTTATGCATTCAGTCTTTGTAACTACATTATCTGCTTTGTATGGAAAGCAGGTTAAGAAGAGAGGAAGCCCAATATGACTATCCCATATAGTCTCTGCATGGGAAAGGAAAAGAAAAAGTCAATAGGCTGCTTTAATCTATTCAACTAATTCAAAGTATTTCTTCCCATGAACTTGCATTATGAAAGACATGCTTACAATAATGTGCAGAATTTAAAATACGGTTGGCTACCAGTTGATTACTTGGTTTATATATTGTGATAACTGAGTCTAATATCACACATTTTAATAATCAAATTTTTTGCCTTGCTCAGAACATTGAATTTCCAACAACGATGTTCAAACTAAACATTTCCAGATACAGAAAAAAAGAGCACATTAACTTATTTTTCTAGGTAGCTCATAATGTATATAATATATTGGGCCACAATACTATATCTGAACAATAGATGATATTATGTAATATGATGGGCTGCGTCTAGAAAATTTTCCAATGTTCAAGGTGAGTTTTAGGAAAATGAAATCGTTTTCTGCTATCGGCCAAAAGAACTGTTCACCTTGTCTGCATCTGCCAACATTGGTAAGTACTTTCTACCTGCTTGCAAAAATTAAAATCACTTTCTCACATGAGTACACACACAGCCCTACCCAGATGGTGCCTTCAGAAAATCACAGTCTCTGATCAACCTGGAGCCCAGTAAAACCTCACCATCCTGCTCCTTCTCCCACTGTCTACACAACTTTTTAAAGACTCTCTGCTTCTCAAAATGCAGACTCTGGCACCTACACCTCTCAATTTTATTTCCCACGTCCTCATTTCTAGGTTTACAAAATCATTTAAATTACTCTGAAAGTCATTAAGTGGCTTTCTTGTTTTTCAACAAATTCTAACATTTTTTAAAATACTTTTTATTGAATCCTAACATTTTTTTCTCAGTAATTCCAGTCACTCCGTCTATAACATCTAGAGCTGGTGATCATTCTGTCTGTGCTCCTTTCTGTCTGAAAGGCTCTTTGATTTCCAGGACAGCACAACCACCTTGGTTTGCAGCTTGTCCAATGGCTAGTCTTCCTTCTCTGCCTGATGGGATAATGGGATGTTCCTAATGGTCTTTTCGGGAACTCTTGTTATTCATTCTGCGGACCCCCTGGGTGGGTAGGTAGACTCCCACAACCTTGTTACCCCTGAGAAGAGCTGCCTCTCAAATCCCTCTCCATCCTAGAGCTCTTTACATGGGGTGCTAGGTCTACATATTCAGTGCCACTCCACACATCTCCACTTGTAAAGTGTCATGCTGTCTTACATGACATAATGAATTCACCCTTTTGATTCTTCACATTCACACATACCCGGCAAACTAGTTATATTGTTTCTGCAACTGAATGCCTGTTCATCCCTCTAGTTCTGTCCTTTACTTCTACAGCCACTGTCATTTATCTGGATTGTGACCTGTTTCCAGATAGGTCCCCTTGCCTACCTTGGTACTATCCATTCAATTTATTTTTCATAAAGCTACCAGAGTAACATTGCTGACACAGTGACCAAGGACCTCCCAAGCCATATACTTTTCAATGGATACCCAATGCCCTCAAGGTAATATCTAAGGCTCCTTAGCATGGCTAAAGACTTTTACAGTACAATCTGTCGCTATCTGAATCCTGATTTCTCTTGCACACTATTCTCAAGCCATTTTCATTTCCCTGTAGTGGCCATTAAGTTACTTAAGTTTTTTAAATTGTGTTCGCATGCTAGGCCTGCATGCATCATTTTCCTTCAGCTTTGATCAGAGATCCTGCCATTCTTCCCACCCACTCATCCTTCAGCTCCATCTTAGATGCGACTCCTTCCTTGAGGCTCTTGACGTCTCTCATTTAAATATTGAGTTGTGTCCTCATGCTCCCCCATTTTCCTCTTATACACGTTTACTCTAGCAATTTATTGTTTATGCTCTATATGAGACTGTCACCTCCTTGAGGACCTCATTCATTGCTGTACCTAGCATCAGAGGTTAATGAACACAGTTTTCAGTTCTAGACACTCTCAGATAAACATTCAATTCTTTATTGTTCAGCCAGCTTGTCTTGGAGGTATCTCCAAATCATAATTTTTCCTTGTTATTGTTATGCCTGTGTTCATTTTTTATTAATTTATTTATAGATATTTTCCTTCATCAAATTTCTTTCATGTCAAAATATTTATGTTTATTTTATTATGTACCCATTTCTCATTATTATTATTATTAGAAATGCTTTTTAAATATTACCAAAGCTGAATTCCAAATACTGTAAGGTTATATTTTTTCCTAACGTATGGCAATGGTTGGCTATGAAAGATTCTAGTACTTGATTCTTACAACAATAGTGATGTTATGAATAATTTTAGAAATAGCAAACATAGAGCACTACCTGTGCCAACCATTATTTCAAGTGCTTTTTAATCTTCATAACTATGCCATGAGTTGGGTACTCTTTTCCCCTCTTCAATATGAGCAAACTGAAGGATAGGCAGGTGAAGTAACTTCCTAAAGAATACATTCCTAGTAGGTAACTGAACCAGAAGCCAAACCAGGCAGCCTGGTTCTACTACAAATACTGCTTCCTGTGTGGAACACTTGCATGTTTACACCAACATGCTGTTTGCAATTTAGTCCTCAAGAAAGGGTCTTCTACTAAGCTTGGAGAAATTAAAGCAACACTGCTTTAGATTTGCATTGTGCTAAGTCAAACAGAAGTGCTCAAGGTGCCCTAAAAGCGCAGGTAATGGCATTGCAGTCTAAATTTTATGGTGATGATTCACTCCTAACTACCTTGTTCCTTTTTACAATTAGTCACTCTTTGATCTAGTTTTGTGCCTTTCTCTTGCCTACTTTGCTCGACTGCTGCCACAGTGGACAGCTTGAGAGTCCATGAATGCTCTGAGCCCTATCAAATCCCTCAGTCTTGGCTCCCACGGCTCCCTGTGCTCTGCATACCCTCCCCCCATGCTCAGCTCTCATCTTGTGGACTTAATCCAGTCAACATCTCCTCTAGAAAGCATTTTCTCCTTCCCCCGAGGAGGCAATGACCAGTCCTCTATTCCTTTTTTTAAAGATTTTATTTATTTATCTTTAGAGGGGAAGGGAAGGAGAGAAGGAAATATCAATGTATGGTTGCCTCTCATGGGTCCCCCTCTGGGAACTGGCCTGCAACCCAGGAATGTGCCCTGACTGGGAATCAAACCACGATCCTTCGGTTCGCAGGACCCCTGTTCATTCCACTGAGCTACACCAGCCAGGGCAGTCCCCTATTCTTGTACTCAATCTACTACATGGATCTCTCAGGTCACTAGCGGATGTTTTTGAGTTTATTAGTTAACATGGCTGACTCCAGTCATCCATGTGGCCATAAGACCTAGCACAGAATGTCCCCCATAGCAGCTATTCAAAAAAATTTGATACTCAGTTTACCAGTGATGTCAAATAAAAAACAATGAAGAAGATGTTGTAATGAATACAATATTAAAAATAGTCATTTAAAACTCTATGCACTGGAGAAGAATTTGGATATGTAATTTGTTTTGTTGCCTATCTGCCAGTATCCTGGTAACCTACCAATTGACAGGCGAAGGGCTGGTGTCTTTACCTTGTAATATGCAAACTAAGGAAACTAAGAAACTACTGTGTAAGCTCTTATTGATCTTAGTTTAATTAGAAAGAAAGTAAAAAAAACTAAAATAGGTATTAGAGAACACATGTAACAGTATATTATGGGTTTTGTCCAAAAAGAAGACCCCTTCCGGAAGAGTGAGATTGCTCCTGGAAATACAAGTGTTCCCTCCTGCAACTTCCTAGCATTTGACAACTAACTCTGAGATGGAAGCCTCCCACACACAAGACTGTCTGCTTACAAATCTACCTTCTGAGCTGCTTCACGAGACAAATGTTTATTTTAGCCACATATTTTCCCTGCCCAGCAAAGTGACTTCTCATTTTTACTTTGTCTAAGTTTTATTTTATCCTGATTGTAACTTTCAACCTTAAACTTAACCTTGTTTCCATCCCCTTCATTTCTAGTTTCGTTACCTTCCATGTTGCACCCTACATTTTACCTATTTTCCTCTATTCCAAATTGCATTCATAGGGTTCTTCAACTCTAGTGTTAAGCTGATACTAACTTTTATTCTTCTTTAAAAATTTCCTCTAGTTTTCCTACCACCACTGTTTCCTTCCCTCCCTCATAGAAACAAGCTTTTTGATGGTCAGTAACAAGAAGACTGGAGCAACATGAGCCCCGTAGGCTCTACATAAACGGGCAAAGACAGAGAGCCTCTCCAACCCTCAGCTGTCTTTGCCTTAGCTTGTCAGACACCGCTGCAAGGCCATCCTAAGCATGGCTCTTTAAAGGACCTTTCCTTTGGAGGTGAGAAAGATTTGTTCCTGGGCTCTGAGCCCTGGCTAAACATTATACTTCACTTTCTGACACTGAATAATTATACAAATATGTTGATACTGAGGCAAAAAAAATGGACATTTGCAACCACAAGTGTGACCAGACAGACAAGATCTCTGTATTCTAGTGGAGAGAGGGCAGAAAAGACAGTTTTGGAAGAGTGACTCCAAGTAAGGGATGACTGGAACTGGAATGTTTGTGTCTTCTAGAGATAGTTCCCTCAAAGACAGTCGGTCCCTCAGGGGATAAGATTGAAAATGAGTCTGAAGGATAAGAAGCAGCCAGTTATGCAAGAGGTGGCAGGAGAATGTTCCCACACTGAGGGACAGCAAGTGCAGAAGCCCCAAAGCAGCAGAGTTTGGCCTGTCTCATGAGCAGAAAAGTCTCCCCTTGACCAGTCATTTGTTAAATGCTGTCAGAGAATCATGCTCCTTCCCTCCAGGGCACCTTTCAGGGGGTATAACATACCAGTATTATGGTTTGGTTACTGTCTGCCAGTCCCAATAAATTTTAGCAAATGTTGATTGATTGCCTACTGTGTGCCTAGATCTAACAGTGGGCAAAACACAGTCCCTGCTTATATTCCAGTATGTGTTTGTGTGTGTGCACCAGTGCAGAAAAATAGTGAAATAAGGATTACAAAAGTAGGAATCGTTTGTTATTGCTCACTAGTGTGGCCCCTGAATCAGCACAGAACCTGGCACATAAAAGGCAAATATTTATTGAGTGAATTCTGCTAAGGAAAGAATGTAGCATGCGAACTGTATATGTAATAGGATCCTAAAGTAATTGAGGCATAGACACACAAGTGCGCATAAAAACAGAAGGAAATATACCCAGGTATTAAAAATAATTGCCCTTTCATTGTGTACATTTTACACAATACACATGATGTTTAGCATACATACACACACACATAGTAGTAGTCATTCCAGTTAATGAAACATGTATCAAACTGAGTGGATGGCCTTCAGCTTTTGTTTATGAGCTTTAGAGGAAAACAATATTATAGTTACTTATGAATCATTTCTTAGGATACTCATTTCTGACTAAGTTTGGTTACCAGTAGTTTTTAGATTGTTCCAGACCTCACCTCAAATAGAACCCAATCTAATGGAAAAAGGGGAAAAAAACATTGCCCAAAAGGCATTTGGGGATAAAATATGATAATGTCTATATTGGATGGGAATAGGAAGATGACTCCACATTTGTTTCTAAAGCAGCAGCCTCAAACCAATAATTTTTGAGCCACAAAGAGCCTGTTACTTTATGTACAAAAAGCACTGCACACCCTTCTAAAATCCTCTAAATCTCAGGACCTAGACCTAGCTCTCACTCAAGGGTTCCCTGCAAAACATGTGCTCCCTAGCCCCCAGCAGAGCAAGTATCAAGCTTCCTTGCTGCACACCCTGTACCTCTGAGCTCCCCCGAGGCCAACCCAGAAGGGCCTAAACACCAAGCCCTCACGCCCTTCCGGAAAGACTGTGCTTAACCTCCCCATCGGCACAACACCGGCTCTAACAACATGTCCAGGCACCTGGGCACACCTTGAGCACCGGGTCTGCGCTTCCCATCCCGCTTCGCGAAGTCCAGAAACATGCAAAGTATTTCTTGGTCCCTGGCAAACACCGGCCCCGCCCAGAACCCCGCAAGGCTCTGTGCCGACCACCAAGCAACCTTCACCACTGGCACTTCCAGGCCCCACTCCCGGTGGATCCGGGCACAGCACAACCCCGAGGAGCTCTAGCCACGCCTTCACCCCAACTCTGCACCTCCAAGGTCGACCAAGTCCCTTTCCTCTTGTCGGACCCACCAAACAAACCCCCCTCTCCCCTCCCTCGGCCCCCGTCGGCCATCTCCCCAACACGATCCAGCTCGCCTACAGAGCTCACACCCTCTTCATCCCCTACAGGAGGATCTGGGTAGCAGGAGCGCTAGAGCCACCAAAAGGATCCCAGAGAAGCACCAAGAAAAAAAAGGGACTCGCAGAACGGCTAGGAGGTGCCCTGAGCGGCAGGCGAGACGCCCTCATTTTCCAAAAGATCAGCTTGGAAACCTGAGGGACAGTGAACATTTACCTTTTTGAGTGCGGACACCACACGCAACAATCCCCAGACTCCAAAAGCATCAAGTGAGGTACTGCTGATGGGCGTGGCCTGAGCCCCGTCATTCAGGGTCGGGCGGGGCCAAAGGTCCTCGAGTTGCATTAGGTCTGGGTAGAATGCAGAGGGTCAAACCTGTTTGATCCACGAGGGGCTGACTGTTCAGGGGCTACTGGTCTACCCGGAACCACCCCTGCCATTTGCGAGATGTGGTGGTTCACTGCTGCGTTCATAGACAGTTACCCTTTTCAAAAGCAGATGTATGCCATCATCATCATCTGAGAACTGTTTTTCTCAGAGGTGTCATTATAATGATGATGTGTATATCTCAAAAAGATTTAGAGGAAATAATCACCCTCCCCTTTTCTTCCCCTGCAGTTCTAGTCAGTTAGCTCAGGATGTATTGAGAACTTACTATGAGCCAGGCACCGCTCTAGGTCAGTAGGTACTAAAGCAGATACCACCCTGCCTCCAAGGAGCTCGTAGTTTGTGCAGGTTCTAGTGGGTCATGCTGTCAGGGCAGTGTAACGAAGGATCAGGGTTGTCCAAGGTGCTGGTGTGCCTCATGGAAAGGTCACATACATACTTTTTAACGCCACATTCACTTGGGTGGGCTCTGGACTTCTGAGGGGCTGCCGCCACCCTGTCCCTTTGCCTGGAGTGCCAGCTCTCCTATAGCTTTGGGGAGACTCTAGCTCTCATTCTGAACTAGGAGAGTCTTCCTGCCTCATGCTGCTCCTCACTCCAGGGGCTGCGGGGAATAATGGAGTTGCATACAGTCCTGGATTCAGCTGAGGATGTGCGAGGCTGGGAAGAGGGTGCCCATGCCATCTTCCTTGGAAGCTATGTTGGCCCTCCAGACATTCAGCTTGGAGATAATAGAAACTTTCTTTTTTCTTTTCTCTTTTTGTTATCAATAAACGAAGCAGATCCACTGCCAGGGTGATACTGAGACACCACTGATGGCTGTCCCATGTTGAGACATTTAAGTGTAGCTCAATTTCATGGATATTAGGGCTCCCCCAACCCAATCATAAAATTATTTTCAAAACAAATCAGATTCACTCTCTGATGATGCTTTTGCCCCTCTTCCCGGGAGGACATTTCTGAGGACTGATTTCACATAGTTCTGGGTGGAATAAAATCACTTTTTTTCCAAGAAGTCTTTTGTTTTACCCCCACTTGTTTCCAAAGGAGCATACCTTATTTATTATGAGAATAATAAAAAGTAAAAGATAATATTTATTGAATGCTAACTCTGTAACAGGCACCTTCCACTCGATTCTGCATACATGATGGCTATTGGCCTTTATCCATCACAATAGCCCTACTAGAGAAGTGCTAATATTAGCTTCATATTACAGAGAAGCAAGTGCAGACTCAGAGGGGTGTAGGAAATAACTTGACCAATACTCCAAGTTCATAAGTGGCAGAGTCAGAATTTGAACTCAGTTCTTTCTGGCTAGAGAGGATGGGTTCTTGCCCACAACACAATGCTAATGCTGCAGATGCAACCTCATTTCCCCATCTCATGTCATTTAACACTCCTCAGCTGCCTGGATACTGAGGTGGCTGACACACCAGAGGACAGAAGGGCACCTGTTCGTGTGGCCTACTTGTGTGTTCACTTTCCTCAGAATCAGTAACAGAGGGACTTGTGACTGGACATGGGGTCAAGGAGGGTACACCACACAGTTCAGTGTGAGGTACTGATGCTCTCTCCCCCCAAACCCAGGGATCCCTCCTGCTTGGGTTCTATCTGGGGGTGTGTAATAGTCATAGCCCCACTGCACTGCCTGCAGTCTGTCTAGTGAAGATGCGAATTTAATAAAATCTTCAAGTGGCTTTATTGGCTGTACATTCTTGCTGAGGGCTTATCAAGAGAAAGAAGCTTTACTCAGCACAAAGATATTCAACGTCATCAGGTCTGTAGCTGTGAGCAACTCATTATGAGTTTTCACCTGGAATCAAAAACTGTGAATTATCAAGGTGAGGTGAGGATTGTACCTCTGAGATTCTACTAAGTAGCCAAGAATATTTCATCAGTTTCTACAGGGAGGACATTTCCTTCCCTCAGCTCCCCCTTCCTGACTTCACTTACTCACATTCTAATCAAGTTACAGCCTGGAAATTGCTTACCTGTCTCTGTTACACAAGCTTATTGAAGGTGGTGCTAAGCTGCCCAGCACCAGTTACCCCGTCGTCTCCTGTGGACTTTGGTTAATGGGTACGCATGGATGCAAGGGAAGAAGAGGTGCAAAACTATCTATAAACCACACAACCGGCCTCAGATGGTACCACCCTGCACCTAAATCACCTAGCCTCATTTCCCCCACTCACTCATTCATTTATGTTGCAAACATTTATCCAGTTCAACAGACATATACTGAACATCTAATGTAGGCTAGGCATCTAGCTAGGCATACAAAGTGATTAAAAATGGCCCCTGCCCTTAACATGCCCAGAAGCCAGTGGAGCTGGCAAACAATAAAATGACGGCTAGAACTCAGTGTGGTTAGGGGAATGGACAGCACTTTGGGAGTTCCCAGGGGGCATGTCAAAGTGTCACTATTGCACCCCAGGCAGAAGGAGTTATCTGTTCAAAGACTTACAGAGATGTGAGAAAGCAAACATACAAGAGCAGAAACTCCCTACTCTTTGTTACTCAAATGCCCACTTTGGCCAGTATCTTCCCCAGGTCCTGGAGGTGAATGTTGATTTGTTTAAGTCAGTTCCAGTCCCCACTGCCTGTGATCCTGTCCTGGATGATAAAGGGAAGTCTGCTGGGCTTTCTGGGCACATATTTCTCACTTGTAAAAAGAATCACTGAGCCCTGGCTGCTGTAGCTCAGTGGATTGAGCTCAGGCCTGCGAACCAGACAATTGCAGTTCAATTCCCAGTCAGGGCACATGCCAGGGTTCCAGGCTGGTTCCCTGCAGGCAAGTTCCCAGCAGGGGACCCACGAAAGGCAAGCATACATTGATGTTTCTCTCCCTCTCTCCTTCCCTTCCCCTCTAAGGATAAATAAATAAATAAAAATAAAATCTTAAAAAAAAAAAAAGAATCACTGAGACATGTCCTTTTTTGCCTTTGAGCTTCATGTGAAGATGAGATGCTTAGAGTTCCCGAAGCTGTCTTTAAGCTATGAGAGGGGAGGCCAAAAAAAATGGCACAGAAACTGATACCAAGCCCTGATACTGAGTTGCCAAATATGCAAGCCCTGGGACTATTTTTTTGATATGGGAAATAATAAATGTCCTTATTATTAAACAGCTTTTCATTGATTTTTCTGTCACTTGCAGACCACAGAACCTTACCTGATGGAGCAGGTGTGAAAAATCATATACTCCTGCTCCTACCTTATTGCCTTTGCTCTTGAACTTCCTGCTATCATAGGTACTTTCTTACCAATTCCATCTGTTAATATCATACACACCCTATGAGACCCACCTCAAATATCACCTACCTCCATTCATACCAGTATGAGTCTCCCTCCCATCTGACTTATCTCCATTTTAGAAGGCCATGACACATATTTGTTTGTCTTATAGGGAGTAATAAGATAGGAAGTTCTCTGAGGATAGAAGCTATATGTTATATTTCTTTGCAAACCCAGAAGTGCTTCCCCAGTGTCTGACCTCAGTGAGTGCTCAGTAAGTGCTTGACAAATTTAATGGTAGGGGATGCGAGTCTGGAAGAGGTAAGATATACACAAAAGAAAGCTGTGATCTGTGAAATAGAAAGTTGAAGAGAGACCCAGCTGGGCAGATAAAGCATAAGGCCTGGGATCCTGTGACTTCAGGGCACGGAGAATTGTGAAGTTTAGAAAGTCATGGCTGACAGCACCATGTTGGGTAGAAGTTGGCAGCTGAGAAGCTAAAAAATAACAAGCATGGAAATAAATTTATACATGTAAACTTACAGCCCATCAGAAATAATGCATTTGCTCCTTAATAATGCTGGAAGGACAGACTGACTGAAATCCGGGAAGGTTGGTGTGACATGTACCTAACAGGTGAGACTTATGGTAATAGACTGACCACTCACTGCCATGTTCCTCTCAGCTAGGCCTTGGGATCTCTAACACCACCTCACAACAGCTGTCTGGAACTCAGAGCAGCTCCTGGCTGGTTGATGCTACGGTGGCTTAGGAAATCCAAGAATGTGTGGAAACTGTAACAAGGGTGGTAAAATATATTTGCAGCTGAGCAAATTTCAGAACTTCTTGTGACATTGAAGGCTTCAGAGGATTGGGCCAGACATGACACATGGGTAGGTGTGGAAGATGCTGCTTCTGAGATTCAAGCTGGAAATGAAATGATGAGGAAGTGAGGGCTTTGAGACTTATTTTGGGTGGAGAAATGAGAAAGCAAAACTTCTTATGGCCAGGACTTAGAATGTAAGAGAGGCACCTGGATGTTAGTGCTAAGAAATTCTGTCTAGTGGGCTGGACTGGGTCCTTTGTATTCTGGTAGAATAGAGCTCACTGACATCCTCCTTCTTTACTCCTGCCATTTCCTCCTCGCTTTTTCTTCTTTCTCTCCTCCCTTTCTCCTTCCTGCCCTCCTGAGAAGTATGGCTTCTGCATCTGTGAAGCAGTGCGGTGGCTTCAAATGGATGAATTAGTGACCAGGTTAGTGTATGTCTGCATCCACTTATCAGAAAGTGGAGACTCTGCTTGTGTGCAGAGTCAGCTTGGAATTGTGGGAATGGGCTATAGGGTGTCCATTTTTCAGGTGCAAACTCAAGTTGGGCCTTTCTGAATATTCATCACTTATACTGGCTCTTTCCATGATGTCTTTGGCTGTTTATGGAATATGTCTGTGTCTATTTGATGGACTGATGGACATGCAGAGAGACATATCTGATAGAACACAGGAGAAGAATGCATGGGGAAAATAATGACTTTGTGTTCTCCTAAAAGAAATTGACTCACAGTCCTCCTCATTTTATAAAGACCACAGGACTAGAAGTCAAGCCAGTCAGGTTCTGGTCTAACTACCCTTTTGTGGCCCTATGTTGAGCATACCTCTTCTCTTGCCTGGACATCTTCTTTACCTGTAAAGTGAAGACATTGGACTGAATGAGCCCTAAAATCCCTCCCAGAAATTTCATTTTGTGTTTCTGATTCCTGGCTCTGCAT